CCACCAAACGCAGTTTCAGTTTTTTTTAAAACTGAAATCAATCTCTAAATAAAACTACCAAACGCATTTTCAGAAATAATTTAAAAATGAAAGTAAAAACGTTTTCATTTTCATTTTCGTACAGAAAACAAAAACGTTTTGGAATCAATTCCAAACGCACCCATTATTTTCTCTCTCTAAAAAGATCTTTAAAAAGTTCACTGCAAAAGGGTCATAACAGTTTTTTTTTCTCTCTTTTTAATGGTCAAATGATCACACAAATAGTTTCTGAAGTTTACTCTTAACACTATTTTGATTGTGACTTTTAAAAAATCTCAGAGTTAGTCTCTAAAATTTTATTATGTTTATGTCTATGTTCTTTTGGTAGTTAGGTGTTAAATATTTGACGATAATTCTGAAAATTAATGACCAAAATTAGAAACGTCTAAAGCTTATGACTAAAATAATACAAAACAAAAGTTAATATCCACATATAATCTCTAAATTTGGCTATTTTTAATTTTGATCCATAATTTATATTAGAATAACTGATTCCACTACTTTGCTGAATTCCACTATCTCGAGGACGCCTCCCTGATTCCACTACCTCCAGCATGTTCTCTTTGTCGTTTTATTATTTTGTTACTCCTTTCTCTCTCCTTTCAGTTATGCCTTAGTGTACGTTGTTATTCTGTTTGTAGGCTATATAATGCCTGGTAGTAATCAATACAAAATCAAGCAGTGTTCATTTTCATTTTGTTTCTTAGCTCTCCTGCTTCTTTTCTAATATGGTATCAGAGTGCCTTCCTTCCGCTAATTAGAGTTGTTGATCCATGGCGCGTGGCGGTGGTCAGCAAAACCAGCAAAACTATTTCAATCCTTTGTCTTCTTCTCCTCCGGAGGCAGCCTCTGCTTCGAGGTCGGTCAGCACCATGGATGACACAAAAGTCCATTCTTCCTCCATAGTGGAGACAATCCTGGGCTGATTCTGGTTTCTCATCCTTTGACCAGATCCAACTACAACACTTGGAGGAGATCAATGCTCATGGCCCTCAACGCCAAGAATAAAGTTGGATTTGTGGACGGTACCTTGCTGAGACCATCTGCGGGTGATTTAACCTTCAATTTTTTTTCCAGATCCAATAGTATGGTCGCCTCTTGGTTGCTTAACTTAGTTTCAAAGGAAATAGGAGACAGCCTTCTCTACCTTGATAGTGTTAGGGATATATGGATCGATTTGTACGATCGATTCCACCAGAGCAATGCACCGCAGATTTTCCAGATTAAGAAACTTTTGCTTGGCCTGTCTCAAGGATCCCTTGACGTTAACACCTACTACACGCGCCTCAAGATTCTTTAGGATGAGCTCAAAGATTTTCAGCCCATACCGGTTTGCAGCTGTGGTGGAATGAAGAGTTGGATAGATTACCAACAACAAGAATACGTTATGCAGTTTTTAATGGGTCTGAATGATTCATTTGCATCCACACGAGCACAGATCTTATTGCTTGATCCTCTGCCTTCAATCTCTAGAGTATTCTCACTGGTTATTCAAGAAGAACGGCAGCGCACTATTGGGTCAGAAACCTCTTCACCGGGTTCCATGGCACTTCAGACCTCCACTCCTCCTTCTCCGTTTGTTAATGCAGCATCTGTCTCTCAATCAAGACCACGGGCGAACAGGCCCAGCTGCACCCACTATGGACTCATGGGTCATATTGTGGACAGATGTTACAAATTGCATGGTTTCCCACCTGGATACAAGCCCAAACCTAAGACAGGCACATTCAGGTCAGGCCCGTTAACCAACCCTTAGAGCTCCACTCAATCCAACTTTTCTCATCAGGTTTCGATGGAGAACAAGTTCTCTACACAGCCGCCATCCCGATCTCAGAACTCCAATCCGTCGGTGGCATCCTTCACTCCAGATCAGTGCCAGCAGCTTATCGCCCTTCTGAGTTCGCAGCTCCACCTTAGTGCCAGTAGCCATTCTGAAGACCCACAGCCACCCGTCTCACATTTCACAGGTACATCCTCTTGTTCATTACATTCCTCCTCTGTTCAACCTTTGACTGCTCAGTGGGTGATCGACACAGGTGCAACGCACCATGTCTGTTCCAATTTGTCACTTCTTTCTTCCCTCAAACCATCACCTGGGGGTAAGCTCACCTTGCCCAACGGCCATCAGGTCGATATCACGCACATAGGCTCTGTCACATTACCGAATTCATTAGTATTAACCCATGTGTTTTATGTTCCTTTATTTCGGTTCAATCTCTTGAATATCACAACACTCACAAAATCTCATAATTGTTCTGTTATTTTTCTATCCAACTATTGTTCTATCCAGGACCTCACTCAGGGGAAGACGATTGGGACAGGTAAACGAGATGGCAACTTATATTTTTTAGACTTAAGAAATCTGAATTATAATTCAATTTCGTCATGTAGTTTTGTTGCTTCCAAGATGCCCAAGCCCAATATCTGGCATTTTCGGCTTGGACATCCTTCCGCTGTAAAACTGAAATCAATGAATGAAAAGTTACAATTACCTTTGTCTAATTCTCCTAATCATTGTCATTGTTCGATATGTCCTCTCACAAAACAAAAATGATTACCCTTTCCATCTCACAATCATTTGTCACCTAACCCCTTTGATTTAATTCACATGGACATCTGGGGCCCTTTTCATACCCCAACGACAGAAGGATATCGGTTTTTTTCTCACATTTGTGGATGATTGCACGAGGTGTACTTGGCTTTTCTTGTTACGAGCCAAGTCTGAAGTTAAAACAGTTTTTCCTAAGTTTTTTTACATGATTTTAACTCAATTTCATGTTGCCATCAAGTTTGCTCATTCCGACAATGCTCCTGAGTTGGTGTTCACTGATTTCTTTGAGTCCAAAGGCATTGTACATTATTTCTCTTGCGTTGACACCCCAGAACAAAACTCTGTGGTTGAGCGAAAGCATCAACACATATTAAATGTTGCTTGCGCCTTGTATTTTCAATCTCATGTACCTGTATGTTATTAGGGGGATTGTGTATTGACAGCAATTTACTTGATTAATCGTTTGCCTTCTCCCTTGTTGGACAACAAAACACCTTTTGAGCTCCTGTTTAATAAGTCCCCCTCCTATGGTCATCTTAAAGTTTTTGGATGCCTTTGCTATAGCTCTACCTTAGCACGTCATCGTTCTAAATTTTCTCCCCGTGCTAGACCATGTGTTTTTCTTGGCTATCCATTCGGATATAAAGGGTATAAACTCCTTGACCTTACCACAAACACCATTTTCATTTCCCGTAATGTTATGTTTCATGAGTCTATTTTCCCCTTTGATGTTCTTGGCTCTACACCAAATCTTGATTTTTTTCATAATCAAGTGCTTCCCTGGTCCGTTTTCGATGCTAACCAGTCACATCCCCCGACCATTCCCCTAAGTCCGTCTTCTTCCGAGCCCTCCTTGGTCAGTTCCTCTCGTCCAAAACGTGCCACCAAACCACCTGTTTACTTAGCCGATTATCATTGCTCCTGGCAACTCTGTCCAACTATTCTTCACCCTCACCTTCCCAAACACCTTACCCCATCTCTTCCGTTCTTAGTTACCATCGTCTTTCCGTGCTTTTAGTCTAGCCATTTCTTCCTCTTTCGAACCACAATCCTTTTCCCAGGCTAATGATCTTCCAGAATGGCGCGTTGCCATGAAAGAAGAGCTGCAAGCTTTGGAAGAGAATAACACTTGGCATCTTACCTCTCTTCCTCCTGGAAAGTACCCCGTTGGCTGCAAATGGGTGTACAAGACCAAATTCAGAGCTGATGGGACTGTGGAAAGGCATAAAGCACGCCTTGTTGCTAAAGGATACACACAACGGGAGGGCATTGATTTCCTAGTCACCTTCTCCCCTGTTGCCAAGTTGGTTACAGTCAAAGTCTTACTTACTTTAGCTGCTATTTATGGCTGGTCCCTCACCCAACTTGATGTCAACAATGCTTTTTTACATGGGGAGCTTCTTGAGGAAGTTTACATGACACTTCCACCCGGTTACCCTTGTCGTGAGGGGGAGCATTTGCCCGAAAGGGCTGTTTGTAACTTGACAAAGTCGCTATATGGGCTACGGCAAGCGTCACGACAATGGTTCTCTAAGTTTTCAGGGGTTCTCCTTAATGAAGGTTTTGTACAATCGGCTGGTGATCACTCACTCTTTGTCAAGCATCGAGGTAATAGTTTCCTGGCCCTCTTAGTGTATGTTGACGATATTGTTATTGCAAGCAATGATCAAGCTGCTGTGAATGATTTGAAATCACTTCTTGCTAATCGCTTTAAGTTAAAAGACTTAGGATCTTTGAAATATTTTTTGGGCCTTGAAGTTGCTCGATCTCACTTGGGCATTTCGGTCTCTCAACACCATTATGCTTTAGAGTTGTTGTCTGAAACATGAAATTTGGCTTGTAAGCCAATTTCTACTCCAATGGAGCCAAGCCTCAAACTTTCCCAATCCGACGGAGACTTGCTTGAAGATCCAACAATTTACCGAAGGCTTATTGGCAAGCTCCTTTACCTCACTATCACTCACCCAGATTTGTGTTACTCGGTCAATCGATTGAGCCAGTTCATGGTTGCACCCGGGGTTCCCCATTTGCATGCTGCGCATCGGATACTGCAGTACATAAAGGGCACCCCAGGTCAAGGGATCTTTTTTGCTGCCAATTCTCCTATTCAGCTTAAGACCTTCACCGATTCAAATTGGGCCGCTTGCTCGGATTCTAGAAGATCCATTAGTGGTTTTTGTGTGTTTTTGGGTACTTCTCTAGTCTCCTGGAAGTCCAAGAAATAACAAACCGTATCTCGCTCATCTGCAGAAGCCGAATATTGGTCCATGGCCAACACCACTTGTGAATTGATTTGGTTGCTCTCCTTATTGAAAGATCTCAAGGTCGAGCATAATGGACCAGCTCTACTGTTTTGTGACAATCAGGCAGCCCTCCACATTGCTGCCAATCCTGTGTTTCATGAGCGCACAAAGCACATCGAGATTGACTGCCATGTTGTGTGTGAGAAAATACAAGCAGGTTTTTTGAAGACGCTGCACATTTCTACTCGGAACCAACTTGCTGATATCTTCACAAAGGCTATTCATCCAACTCAATTTCATCTACTGCTATCCAAGATGGGAATTCACAATTTGTTCTCTCCATCTTGAGGGGGAGTATTAGAATAGCTGATTCCAGCTGTTTCCACTACTTTGCTGAATTCCACTATCTCGAGGACGTCTCCCTGATTCCACTACCTCCAGCATGTTCTCTTTGTCATTTTATTATTTTGTTACTCCTTTCTCTCTCCTTTCTGTTATGCCTTAGTGTACGTTGTTATTCGGTTTATAGGCTATATAATGCCTGGTAGTAATCAATACAATATTAAGCAGTGTTCATTTTCATTCCGTTTCTTAGCTCTCCTGCGTCTTTTCTAATATATACATCACATTGTAAGTTCATAGACGGCCAGATTAGAATTAGGAGTTTTATATTTATCTACTTTGATCTTTATTATCTTTATCTTTTATTTGAAAGTTGTTTTAGGATAATTATAATTATATTAGGATATATTTTAAAATAGGAATTATCTCTTCTAGTTTCTTTAAGAATTATCTCAGCCACTTTCCATTATTTATTACGGCAATTATTATGTTTTTATTTGAAATTTGAGTTCACGTAGGATTAAGGCTAGGAAACGCATTAGCTTATTTAAGGGCCTTATTAGAATTCTACTTCATATGAGAATAGAACTCCAATTCAAAGTCGAAATTGATCATATATATATAGGTGAGGCTCCCACTATATAAGTTTACAAAATCCACCTCAAATGTTAATCTTCATCATATAGTTAGTCATCTCTTTTTGGAAGCTGGGCTCTCTACGTTTTGATATATGTCTTATATGCCACATCTTCTTCTGCTGTAACACCACTTTCTGAGGGGCAACATCGACTTCCTCAAATTAAACGCTTCAAGTCCCCATCGTGCATGATTCTTCAAGTCCTCGTCGTTCAAAAACTAGTGACACATACATATATATTATATGGGTTTCTATACATCTAATTTGTTTATCTCTCTTAATCGTTAGTTAATTATAATTTTTATATTTGTTCTTTTTTTTAATTTTATTTTAAGGATATTTATAAATATCATCGAATGCGCCCATGTGCTGATTATGTATAAGAGTTGGGCTACATAACTTTTGTTTTAAAGCCAGGAAATTGAATACATCGTACTAATTTCTTTATATTTATTTCATGTTGGTAGTGGTTTCAATTGAACTATGTCATAATTGTAAAAATTTAAGTAACAATATAATGCAGCCGT